GGGTTTTGTGAAGTAGTCCAGGGACTATTCACGTTTGTGCCAGCACTCACAGCAGTCAGCATGCGCAGTGATTTTCCTCTGCAATGCATATTGATAGCCCTTCTGGACAGCAGGGTCTGTGCCAGTTGCTGAGTGCAGGCAGAATTACTGCAGCACGAGGAAGAAACATCACTTTCCACTTTAAGCTCCTATGTTTTTGATTCTGTGTTGCTTCCACACAATGTTGTCCAAGCCTGGATCTTAAACAGTTTGCTTTCCAAATGCACTATAAAAGTCTAAGGAACTGATTGTCTATGCTTGCATGAGTTAATTGCCTTCTCCCCAGTCTCTTGGTCCTTTGAACCACAAATCACCCTCAGGTATGTATATGCTCAGGACCCTTGCATTGCAGCCCTCTCCTGTGCAGGAGCATTTTACCTTCTGATACATTCTGGTTAAGACTAATATTTTAATGAGAATTGCTGCTGCTTTCATTAAAATTAATGTGATTAACTATTTATGAAATACTACTATCAGGTAAAACATTAAATTTAAAACCAGCTTAGGCTATTCAGCCTCTTGAACTGTTGGACCTGGTGTAACTTCAATCCTGCTGTTTTAGCTGTTGGATTCTGGAACTGTGAAAGCAGAAGAAAAGGTCAGCAACCAGTAAGTTTCTCTCTATGGGCAATATATTCGTTTTTTCCCTTGATACAGGAGCATGTGCGTCCTTCATAATATTGTGAACAGGTTGATACAAATATAAGGGTAGGGTTTTTGTTTAGTTTCTTTTCTCAGTGGAAAAATAATAGAAGTTAAGTGTCTACACCTTGTGAATATCATACCTATTAACCAGATGGTGGAAAAAAAATTGAGAAAAGCTCATCAGTGAGTTCAAGAGGGAGTTTGTGGGGACAGAAATCAATATATACAAATACAACAAAAATTATTGAAAACTTAAAAAAATAGATATAAATTCATTCATATAAATGCATCTATAACTATAAATGTGTTAAAAGTACTGTAATAGGTCTACCCACCAAGGACCTAATAGTTTTTCTTGGTTTCAGTAAATCACTGAAGTGGTTAAAATTCATATTTAGAGCCAATATGTGTGTAAGTCTCAAAAGTTTTAGTATGCTTTTCTGCCCATTTTTTTCAAGGCATTTGCTTTGTTCTGAATTTGTTCCAAACTCAAATTTATTTTCCTTTTGAATTTCATTTTTTTAGAGCCCAAATCCATTCTAGCATGTCTAACCAAGAGAATTATTCACATGGTATGGTTTAGGTTTAGGTTTAAATTTACCTAGGTGATCGACTGAAGCCCATAGGTGAAAGGAACACAAGCAAGAGAAAGAACTGCTAGGATTAGAGAAAGGACTAAGGAGAAATCCTTTTTTTGACCTCTGGATTTTTGAGTTTGTTCAATTCTGCATACTTTAAAAACAAGTTTTGCTCTCTATTCAAACAGCTTTCATCTATGAATGAAAAATGAGATTATATTGGCAGTTGCAGTCTAGGAACTCTATCCTGTAAAAACAAAGGAAGAAGTAAGAGGAAAAAAATTCTTTAAGGAGAGATTATAAAGAGCAAAACAACATGAAAGTGATCGCTTTTTCAGTAAAACTAGAAAATTAACAGATGATGCTTATTCAATAGTGTAATATATTTAGTCCACGTTCTGCTGCCTTTACCCTGCTTTTATTCATTATTTTATGGTAAAATACACATTCCTGTCAGGATAACAATGACTGCTTATGTTTGGTGAGGGCTTTTTGCCTCATCTGCTCTTCCAGTCTGATACACTGTGTTCACCCCATTGTGTGCATGCTTGTGGTGATTCTGTTGTTGCTATGTGCTACAACTTAAGCTAGTGAAAAAATGATTTATTAGACTTGTCCCAAGTGGTCAGAAGAGGAATGTGTTTAGCACGAGGCATATATTGGGACAGTGGTATAGAACGTGACATGGGAAGGAGAAGCAGAATTCATTACTTGAGAAAATTTGGTTGTTGCATCAGAATAAAGACAACCATTGGCCCCAGCGTTCAGCTGGCTGCCATCCAAAGCCTGGTTTAGTGCGGCACAGCTCTGCGGTCTTGACTCGGTTTTAATGAGAAAATTGCTTAAATATTAGGAAGTTCACAAACTAATGCTGTGCAAAATAAGAAAAGTGAAAGCACAGAGAGAAGGATTTTGTTAAAGGGGTAACAATAGCAACTCTGGGATGCAAAGGGAAAAAAATTCTGTACCTTAAGGTATAAGAAAAATCAGTAAAAGCAGGGAGTCAGAAAGTGGCAACTCAGCAACACAGGATCAGCCTGTTATGAGGATTAAGATATAGACTTATGAGGAGTGGCTGAGGGAGTTGGGGTTGTTTAGCCTGGAGAAAAGGAGGCTCAGGGGGGACCTTATTGCTCTCTACAACTACTTGAAAGGAGGTTGGAGTGAAGTGGGGGTTGGTCTCTTCTCAGAGGTAACAGGAGACAGGAGAGGAAATGATCTCAAGTTGCACCAGGGGAGGTTTAGATTGGACATTAGGAAAAAAATTCTTCACTGAAAAGGTGGGAAGGCATTGAAATAGGCTGCTAAGGAAGGTGATGGAATCACCATCCCTGGAAGTGTTCAGTAGGTGTGTGGATGTAGTACTTGAGGACATGGTCTAGTAGTGTTATATTTGAATTCCTGCCAAATGTTTGGTGTTTTTTGAAACTCAAGTTTAAACATCAAGGAGTGCTGAAACAGGTACAAGACAGATATTTTTGCACTTAACTCTGCTTACTAGAACTAGGACTAGGACCTGAACTCATAAGCTTAGGAGAACTGTTATGCTTGGAATATATTAATCTTCAATAGAGAAAAAGCATCATGTTTAGCTTTTTCTAAATAGTCACAGTTAAGTCAGGACATGCTTTCAGACAGTGGAGACAGAGCTACTTTTGCTTACAGCGGAACCACAGTAGAATAGTTCTGTGGGGTTTTTTAAAGGTTTTAACACATGCCAACATCTGTGAAAAATGGATTTTATCAAGGTTCAGCACAATCTCGTGTCCCAAAACAAAGCTGCTTAGAAACATAAGTTACATTTTTGTGTCCCTTTAAAAGAAATCTTACTCCTGTGTAAATGAGCTCATGAAATTTCCAAGCAAATTCCTTACCTCTGGTTTATCATCAGCAAATCTTCAAAGTTGAAAACACAGATATGCCTGTTCACTTATTCTGACTGGTGGACAACTTTAACCACGTGTTAGCTTTTTTTCTTTCTTATGCTTCCAGAGCAATGAGATAACTCTTTAAAAATATTTCTGAAGATGTGTAATACAAAGGAGATTTGCCTTTTGCTAATGTTGGTGCAAATCAGAAGTCATTCTCTTGGAACTGATGGAGCTGCATAGACATAAGGAAAAGAACTGGATTATAATTTCCAGTGAACATCTCACTGTTTCCATGAATGCGTCCTTTCTCATTTTTCTCACATTATATTTGTTAAATTATAGCAGTCAGTGACAGAATTAACATTGTCCAGATTTTTCTGTCATAAACAAAACTTACGAAAAAAATGCAGAGCAAATTTGAAGGCTAAGACTTAGGTACTATTAATGTGATGTAGGGTGATTGCCTTCTCCTGACCTTGGCCTTTCTATTAACTTTCACAGCAAAGATTGCTTGCAACAGAGCAAAATAAAAAATTATGTGATTGGATGTAATTTTCCCTCATCTGCGTTCCTTAGTTGTGACTGGGACGGTGTGGGAGGCAGGTCCAATAAAAGCACTGCTGACAAGAAATTGTATCCACATCTTGAACATTTGGATTACAAGTCCATATATATAAACACACACACACACTTCCTCTTAATGTCTCTGCCATTCATGGTAAGGCATCCACACCAGCTGTGCTTTCAAAAGGAGGTGCCCTTTGATGTCTTCCTGAGCAGTCCAGCTGAAGTCACAAAGGGAAAAATCCCCTTTGTTCCCTAGAAATGAGCCTGACATCAACATCTCCGGGTTCCTCTCACTTACTAAAAAATGGAGACAGAAGGATAACTAGTTTTTACCTCTGCTTGTTCAGCTTTGGAGACTTAAATTGTCTTGTAACAGTTCAGATTTGAAACTATGTTGGTTTTTCTTTGTTTGTTTGTTTGATTGGTTTTTGTTTTTTGTTTTGTTTTGGTTTTTTTTCAATTTAACCTTATGTGATACCTTTACTTGGAACTTCAAAGTTCTTTGCTACTTTTTTCTGACTCCTTTAAGTTTTGGCAACAGTACCATGTATATTTCTTTAGGCCATTGTTAAAAAACCTGGAGATTGCAGATCAAGTACTCAAGGCTATTAGACTTATCCTTGATATCTGCTCCGGTTTTCTTTGCAGTTTTATTAATGCAAACATTTCCTTTTTAAATAAGAATGAGCACTCCTTCGTGGGTATTTATTACATTATTTAGAGTGATTGCCAGTTCATTTTGGCTAAAGAAATACAAACCTTAAAAGAATACATTTAGGTAATAGTATATACTGAATATCACCTGATTTTTTCTTAATTTGCCCATAGTAAAACAATACAAAGTGAAGCATATAAGGCTAAGCTAGATCACTGGAAATAAGATTGAGATGGGGGATGCAGGATAAGTTTACTGCAGTGATGTAACCCTGCTTATCAGAAAGGAAAATGTAGATAAAATGCAATCGAAGTGTTAAAAGAGTTTCTAGTCATATGGAGAATATGTTGGTTATAGGTATATGAAAAGAAAGAGAGCTTCCTTTGACACCACATACTCATTCCTTACACTGTTTTGATTTTAGGAGTTTGAAGTATAGAACCAAAATATTGGACCATGTATATTTTGCATATTCTGAAACTTTATTATAAACTTACTTGCAAGAGAATGCACCCAACATTTCATAATGACATATACATAGTTATGGCTCTGTTTCCAGTATCTCTGTATCTTGGCCAAATAAATCAGTTTACAACATATCTGACTAATAATTAACACATGTGGAATCTTCCTAGAAAACCATAGTCTGCAGCTTTCTGTTCAGATTTTTTTCTGATTGGTAACTGAAGGTACTACACTACAGTGAATGAATATTTGATTATAAAGTGAAGGACAACGAGCCTCAAAAAAGACTGCTAGAAGCACAAGAATGTGGCTCAAAATTCAGATATTGCTCTTATATTGCATTGCAAGTGAAGTTTCTATGGCAAAGCAGCTTGATTCTAAAAGAAGTTTTCCTGGAGGACTTTACTCTGTAGAAGACAGCGGCTTTGCGAAGTGGAACAGGACTAAAAGGAATCTGTATCAGGGAAGGTCCTGCATGGTACGAGGCTGTTGCACAGGAAGAGATGATGACTGCAGCTTTAATATCATCTCCAAAGCAGCTATATGTTACTGTGACCAGTACTGTACGTCAGGTTCTCCTGGCCCTGTAGACTGTTGTGCTGACTATTGGGACGTTTGTGACCACCCTGTTGAGCCCACCAGGTCAGATGAGCCTTGGCCACCTCCAGCATCAGGTAGGTAGAAAGAAAATACTCAGTTGGCTTTAGTGCATCACGATGAAAATATACATGGAAGTAGAATTTCTGATTAATCTTTAGATTGTATATATCCTGAAATTATGACTAAAGACATAGTGGACAATGATGCTGAAGTATGAAACTGGACTAATAATTGTGCTTGCTGTTACTTCTTTGTCTCTAGGGACATATTTTTAGCATTGGTTTCATTATATTTCTCTTGGGCAGAACCTCTGCTTTCCTTGAAACTTCTCAGAGAATAACCTCATTGGGTCTAAATTAGTGTGATCTCAACAACTCCAATAGAGCTTCACAGATTAAAATGACATTAACAGCAAGGTCTAAATATTTGTATCCATCAGTACAAATAAATTGTCAAGAAAACTGAGGGTTATCCTGAATGATACTGCTCTGAGGGATTCTGTAATGGTTTTGATCCAATGTAGCTTTCCTGTAGGACATTATTTTTCCTGCAACAGCTCAGGTGAAGGAATAGTTGAAGGGATATGGTTAGAATAAGGATTTCTGACATACTTTATTTCCTTACTAGTTAGTTTGCACTATGAGTTCCTCTGGCACTACCCTGAATCTAACTTTTTTTAGAACTAGAGATTGCAAAAACATGATCTGCAAACAACTGGTCCTTCCTTGGCTCCTGCATGGGCCAAATCTCTGCTGATGAGCAAAATCTAGTATTGTGAATTTTAAGACTATATAGCTTCTTACTGTCAGTAGACCAAATCTGGCTGAAAACGTACCAAAGCTTCAGAAGTCTAAAATCAACAAAAATACTACCATGACATTTTAAAATTAACTATTTCTTTGCAATAATTTTGCTGCTTGCATTCCAGCATTCTTCAAGAGGCTGTGCTCTTAGCCAGGCATAAATCTGCAGCCAAAATGTGATAAGTGGGAGTGACAGAAATGCTGTAAAACAAATTTGATTTTCCAAAGTGTTTCTAACCATCTAAAAGAATGTTATGTGATTCTATGTAAATTAAGACATTTGTTTTATTTATTTCATGCAGTTGTGTATATTATTTCTAACAGATCATGGGGTTGTTGTCATAAGCTCTACATAAATACGTAGCTGCATTTCTGCTCCAGAGTTGACAGCCTGCAAGTCTCCTTTGGCAAACTGTCTCATGGAATTGATCACTATACAACCTGCAGCAGTTTGCTATTTGGGCACTGCCTTAAGTCTACCTCTCAAAGGTAGAAGTGTAATAGAAAGTTTAGATAAGGCAATAGGTGAGGGGTAATATTTTTACTGCTTTCCTAGTCCAATTTTTTGCATTTGTGTTCACTGTTTTGTAACTCCTGGGCTGTACATACCTGCCAGAGGTAACAATTATATTTATTCTATTCAATCACCTTTATTTGTCCTATAGATGATGTTATATCATTATTTTATATGTTGTCTCAGAAAAAATCCTGTTTTTCTGATGTGTAAAGCTATAGAAAGTCTGCGTTTTTTTAAATCTGTTTATTGGATATTTATTATATATGTAATTTAGAGGGTAAAAGGAGAATAATAAAGCCAAAATACAGCAAGATAAAAAGCAACAGACAAAACCAACTCTAAAGGAATTTTCTTGAACAGGAATGTCTGAGAAATTGGAAAAAAAAAAGGAGAAACAAAAAGGACTGAATGCCTGAAGACTAAGCAAATTAGGAAACTTATTTAGAAATGATAAACGTATATTAGCTGACTTTTAGCAACTGACACTACACATCTGCCTTAGGCTAAGAATTATTTAAGCGCCTGAAGACCATATATGCCAAAGTACTTTTTATCTGGAAGATTCTGATCTTTTGGTTGCCTGTGGTTTTGCTTTCAGAGCTTCCTGAGTAATATTTCTTTAAACAAAACAATAAACTAAAGCATTTTACATGGGCTGGAGTGTACAGCAATAAAATTGCTCAGTGCTTTGTTTCTGGATCCCCGCATATTCACTAACTTGGTGTACAGTAGAAACAAGCTACGCTGTGACTTCTTCCATGGTCATGCACCATGCTGAGGGCCGGTCTTGATTTAATTATGTAGAACTGCTTTGACTTTGCCCTTGTGAGTCCAGTGTTCAGTGGTTTTTGTGTGTAGTTTCAGAATAAAGTGCACATTCCTGCCTTAGGTACCAAAGAGAAGTTCGGGATTTTTTTATTAGTAGTATTTTATTGTTAGAAGAACTGTTTAAGTTTTATCTCTGGACTGTATTTGTTAGTTACTTTGTCAGAATCCACACACTGGGACTCACCCTGTCAATGATGTAAAAGTGACATCCAGAGAGTTTGCTGATCACTTTAATGTGAAAGTCAGGATCTGGCCTTTGAGGGAGTAAACCTGAAGACATTTCCCTGACAGAAGTGCTCAGATCAATATTGGAGGCAAATGTAGTAAGAGCCGTAATGCTATCAGAATGCTGGACTGGGAAGGAAGTCACCATTAATCAAATGCTCTTCTTTTCAATCATGATTTTCACATCATAAAAACCTATTTACAAAGTCATTACACTATATTCAAATTAATTAATTTCCCACTTAATATATTAATATTCCAAAATAAAATATTCAGGACCAGACAATCTCATTGTGTTCTCATGTGTCTTTTAGCTTAGATATCTCTGCTCTCTGTCACTGCTGCTGCAAGCAGCACTCCTGGCCTTCTAAATATTAATTTGACTAGGCTAAAGAAACTCATGGTGTTAATCTTCAATTCCCTAAGCATACATCATTAGAAAGCTGCTTCTGTACTAGTCCAGGTTTGCATCTTATCTTGGGCGTTAGCAGTGAGCACTGCCAGCAGAGCTCTAGTGAGGCTCTGTCTTGTCACTCAGATGCTGCATCAATATTTCCTTCCCTCTGTATTTTGGAAATATCTTGCTTGAGGCCTCCGTCCAGCTACTGTCTAATGCTGACTTTGTGGCAGACTGTGACAAACTGAACTTCGATAACTTGCTTTGAGTATTCTCTGAAAAATATCTCAGACCTTAGCTGAAGTTGAATTAGAGCAGACACTTTGGGCCTCAGACTGCTTAGGTGGGATTTATTTCACCTATATCTGTGCTAGCTACCGTAGCCTGCCGAATGACCAATAGAGAAAGAAAGACACTTAGAGTTAATTCATCAACTCTAGTCTACTTCTGGGGACTCCTGGTGGTCTAGTGGTTAGGATGCGGCGCTCTTGCCACCGCGGCCTGGGTTCGATTCCCGGTCAGGGATACTCCCCCAGACAGATGGAGCTCATCAGCCCTGTAAGGCCATCCATCTATGAGAAGGTCACTCTAAACAAACCTACGTCCTGAGGACCTCACTGCCATTGTCCAAGCTTGCTTGGCCCCGGCAGATGAACCTTAGGATTAAAGGCTGGGCTCAGTTCAGCGCATGCTGTGTCTCACCTAAAAAATCCATTGCGCAGGCTTGAAAAGTAAAAGACCTTTCCCAAAAATCTTCGTTCGTGAAGACTGGCCATACCTTAGTCTACTTCTGCACATTGTTATAAAATTTAGTGGGGTTTAGAGTGCTTATTTGTCTCCTGCCAGTGAAGCAAACACGTGTATGTCTGGGCAGACAAATTCCAGCCCTTGCCATGAGAAGGCGATGGCCTTCCTTACACTTGTGGTGGGAAAAAAAGCATGATATTATGCAAAGTTGTAAGTCAACAGTATGTTACAGTTTAAACTTCTTGAAAATGGAGAAGAAAGGAGAACTTGGGGGTTCTGACTCCAATCCCTCCCAGTGGGGAAGGGAACATGATCTCTGTAGGCTCACATCTCAGAACGGACTGGAAAACAAAGACCCATGAGATAAATGTATAATGTTTGTTATTGACTCAATCTAAAGCCTTCTGAAGGCATTCTGAATCTTTCTTTTACTGAAACTTTATAATCAAATGCACTGATCGAAACAGTTTATGTGGAAGATCTTAAAACACACACAAAAACTTTTCTCAGTGAAGTGTTATCAAAGAAAAGAAATAGAAGGGATGTATTTGTTTGGAAAAATCATCATTCAGTTTAGGTTTTATAATGGGTTTTGGAGAGTGTGTGAAACATACATTTGCCTTGAAATATAATTGATCTCGCTGTTTTTCAAAGAGGAGTTATTCTGGCAAGGAAAAAAATATAATAGGTTTGGAATATTCACTAAGTTTTTAAATTCTATACTGGAAAAACTTATTTCTACTTCAGTTGCCAAATAAAAAATAATTTTTATTAGAAATATTTTCTTTTTATTACTGGAAAATAACTTTATGTGAAGAATTATTTTTTTTATTTACATGTAAGATAGTATATTTTTCAGAGGGTGTTTTGAATCTGATGCTGATTTTATTTATTATGAATGATAATGTATTTGGTAAAAAATTCAAATACATTAAACTGCCTTCATTACTTGGAAGAAACTGGAAATAGATATTGCCGACTTTCAACTAAATAACTCAAGCATATTACATATAACGAATTAATTCAATAGTAGCAAGATTTTTGAGTAATTCACTTCAAATATTATTTTTATGTCATTTTTACTCATCTACATGTTATGTTGGCAGGTTGTTATAAAGACGGCCGATATTACGGAGAAGGAACAATAATTAAAGACAACTGCAATTCCTGGTAATGTTTCAGAGAACAGCAAATTGAATTTTATCTAGCATATGTCATGAAACAGGAATTAAGGTAGAGAGCATCCTTAAATTCACATTAAAGATGTAATCAAATCAAAATGGCCGGAAGAGCAGTGCTAAATATTAAGGTTTTGTGAAAGTAAATTACAGCCAACTTAGAAGAATGGCAAGAGGGAAACCAGGCTTTCTAATCAAGATATGAATATTCGACTATTAAAATCTCCTCCTCACTAGCCTAATTCTATTCCTGCTCAGTCAAACCTGAGTCAAAATGGTTTCAGGCTAGACCTGGCGTTGACCTGAATTCACACAAGACAAGAATCATTAAAGTTTGTGGGATTCTTCCTCCGGTGCTTTGCTTTTTTTTTTCATGGGTAATGAGACCTTACATTATTTCATAAGGGAAGGATATATATATATATGTATAATTATGTAGGAAAGAGGTGAACTTTCCTACATCCCTTTCTTTGTCTTGGGACAGGAGCAGACAGTGCAGGCAGGGGAGCTCAGCTGCCAGCTGTGGCAGTCAGTTGCCTGAGCTGCCTCCCTGCTTTGCCTTTTCAAAAACCAGCCCTGCACCTCTAGTCCCAGGGCATCCCAAGGGGCTCCAGCAGCACCCAAACAGAGCTGGGGCTCCCACTGTCCTGACTTTAGCCCAGGGTCCTTGGAGCAAGGTGTCTATGGCATCATGGCCCCTTTCTGGGTTTCCAGAGTGAAACTTCCTCATAATATCTCAATTTTGAGGAATTCAACATCAACGATACAGGATGTTGCCTTTTTCCCCCAGTTTTGTCTCACAAAGAAGGATGCAATATTTTTCAAATATGACCTTTTCCACAAGCTGTAAACTTTCCCACCTTGTTCCAATTAGGATTCATTAGGTAATGAAGCAGGAAGAAGTGGCATTATGTTTTCATAAATACTATGTGACAATTATATTGCTTGCACTTTTTTTTATCTATCTCCCTTCTGCTGCTAAAGTGCACATTTCACTTTTGACAATTCATTTTTTGCTCAATGATATTCTTGTCCTTTCAGCAAATGTTTCAACAGTCTCTGGAAATGTTCAGCAGATGTATGCCTTGTTCGCCAAGACTTAATTCAGGGCATCAATTCTGGAGATTATGGGTGAGAACCCTTTTATTTTAAGGTTTGTTATAAATCACTGTATTACTCACTGTATGTATGTGCAAATTACAAGTTATGCAATCCTCCCTGCCCTTTCCTTCTCCAGTAACATTACAGTAATTTGACAGTAAGTGCACATTTCTGAAACTTTCCCAAATAACTAGCAGATTATAGAGTTTTAAATGGAAAGATACTGAAAGTCTTATGCTGGTAAGAATGATTGTAAACATCTATCTAAACATTCTCCGGACTTAGAACATTTTTTTTCTCTCAAAGCACAATTTACGCCATCTTCCCTTATTCTTCAATTTATTTATTACTTGGGATAGATATATAAAGTCATTTTTTCTCCTCCCTTAAGAGCATTATTCTATGTAACAGGACTCTAGGTAGCATTGGAAGAGGAGAAAATAGGCCCGGAGAGGATCAAGATATCAGAACTTTGTGGGGCTTGTTTTTCTTGCTAAAAGTCTCATTTCTCCTAGCTAGCGCACAGGGATTAGGGACACTCCAGTATTGGATCTGTGCCTTGGGAGTCTGCTGACTGTTTACAGACAGAGATACAGGGATTGGCTCCCTATGATCTGAGGTGCTAAATTCAACAATGAAGCCTTGCCCAGATTTCAAACTGTGATGAGTGCTGAAACAGTTTGTGCTTTGTGGGAGACATTCAAACCAACCGGATTAGGATAAACACCTAAGTAAGGCACCTGGTGCCCTTAACCTCTTTGTTGTTAGTGTTGAGCAGTGAGGTTTGCCTACCTGAGATATGACTCAACTTCTCCAAGTGCTTGCATTTTCACTGACTACAGGGAGACCAAGAGCAATGAGGCTTCTCCTTTGGTCAAGATGAATCCCATCTCCTTGTTCTTCATACACAAGCATGATAGAAGAGAATGCTCTCCCCTGTGACTCAGCTCTTATCCAATAAAAAATTTCATAGTGTTCCAAATGGATGTTTTTGTTAGTTGTACTATTATAAAGGAGCAATGTATTAATTTGAATGATATCTCTAATGTGGGATTTATTTGTTTGGTTTTTATCTATGAGGAAGATGGAAAGCTGAGAACTACAGTCAGTTCTGGGGAATGACAGTGGAAGAAGGTTTCAGAAAGCGCCTGGGTACCTTTCCTCCATCTCATTCTTTGCTGAATATGAGAGAAGCTCCAGTAAGTGTCATGTATACTTTTCTAATAACTTTATCACAAGGGAAAATAAATGTGGATGATTATAAAAGTATGATTCAGGGTTTTGACATGAAATGCTCCCATGTTGTAGTTCCCAGAATAGTTCTACAAGTCATAGAGTGTCTGGCCCTATTGATGAAAATTGAAAAAGGAGGAGCAAAAGCAAATACTAACCACTATGAAGCTCTGCACCAATATTAATTTATCGTTGTAGTTCACTTTAAGATGGCTCCATACTATCCTCTCCATTTGCTAATAATTGAACACTTAGCTGTAACCATAAAAAAGTGTATCTGGGCATAGTTCATTAAGGCTAACAGCTAAGACTAAACAGCAATCTTTGACAGAAGCTGTGAAAACTTTTTTTGGGTTTTGAACAACTGTAAAGAAAAATTATGGGAATCGTGGCAAAATGAAGTGATTCTCTGCTACCAACTTTTTAAACCTTTTTGCCATGGTCATTTTCATGACAGCTAAATTAAATTTCCTATCATTTATTTATGCTTAAATTAGTTCTGAAGCAAAGAAAATATACTTTAAGTTATGTAGGTAGGTTAAGCATTTTAAGAAAAAATGCAAGTTATTGAATCCAGAGCGGATTTTTCAATACTTTGGACCAGTTCATTTCTTTTTTGGAAGACACAATTTATGGAAATCTGGCTCTCCTCCCATCTGGGGTACCATTTCTGGCTCTCCTCCCATTGTGGGGTGCCATTTCCGACGATTTAAGGTGGATAGGGAGGGGTAAACTCCAGCATCAGGGGTTTCTTCAGGTCCGGATGCTGGAGGGGAGAGGTGCTCCCCCCTCCCCCCACCCACGCGGTCCCATGGCAGCCACAGAGACAGCACACGGGACTTGGAGAGGAGGCAAGAGAGAGATTTATTGTTGGGGTGGTTACATATATAGGTCCTAGGAGGATTCACAGAGTGACCAATTACAGGTTCAGGGTCTTACATGAACACCAGTCGCAGGAAAGGGTTAACAACTAATAGGAAGGGGTTAAAAAGGTCCAATGAGAAGACTTCTTGATATCTTCTCAGGACATTCCTGAGACAGAGATAACAACTGCCGTGGGGGGTCTTGGGAAGAAGAAAGCATGAGTTAGCAAAGAGCCATTTTGACACATGTTTAAACAACAGTTTTTGTTATACTGCAGATCTACTGCCACAACAATTTATGGAAATCACAGACCATAAAAAGAAAAACTAACTGGCTCACCATAGTGAAATTAGAAAAATTGCAAGTATAAACAGGTTTTTGTCTTTGGCTTCTATATAGTTCAGACAAGTAATGCCATTTAATTATCTATTAAAACTCAATTGTTGATCCTTGTATACATGTTGTGGCAGAAGTGTTCCACATCATGGAAGGCCATGTGAGGACAGCAGTGCAGAGCTACTAATTGGCAGGGAAGTTGGGAAAGAAGGGTATGGCCTCTGCAATAGTTTTAGCAATTTTAACCCTTTTTCTTGAAGCAGACTCATTCTTTGTCACACACAATGTCAGCTCCCTGCACCAGTGTGGCGAGGCATTGGGCTGGGACCCAGATTGGCCAGCTTGATCAAAATTACACTGTGAAGCTCCAAATTTCCCTGATTTTGTCCCCTTCTAGGAGAGGGTTTTCTAGAAGAACATAATATTTTTAGTTTCCTTGTGCTGCCTCAGGAAATTTCCTATAATTTGCCATATTTTAATATTGCACAACAAAATACAAAAATTACAGTTTTCTTCACTTATAGGCAGCTCCATACCTACTGTCATTGCACAATCCAACAGTTTCATAGCATGGATTGGGCTTACCAGGTGTGCATCAATAGATTCTTCCAACTGGCAAAACAGCAGCAGCCATACAGTTCATTTCCAGGCATTTTTTAAGACAAGTATTTTATCAGATTTTCAGAGACTCTTGACCCTTCTTCTCCCTCCATGAATAATTTTCTTTCGCTGATATTTTGTGAAGCATGCTAACATATTTACAAAGTCCTAAGTGATAAAAAATTAGCGAATTTGGGTGAAAATGTTTTTATTAAGCTTTGCCTGTCACTAGGTGACAACTCAGAATGGAGTAAAAGAGATATGAATAATGAAATTCAGAAATAATGACTTTTTAATATTTTTCAGGGACACTTTCCAAGCCTTAATGGCTTGACCTTTAAGTGACTCTGTTGAGTACCAATTCATCTGCAGGCCAAAGTACTAGTTACTTACTGTGGATAAACTGGTACTAATTAAATATTCATGCATTCTCTGGGATTATTACTGCCTTTCCTATTTTGCAAGTGAGAAAACTGGAAGTCATTTGCCCAAAATCCCATACGTAGTTGATAAAAATGCTACAACTAGTGTTCAGGAGTCTGAGGCTTGAAGCTCTGCTAATGTAAAAAGAAAACCATAGCTATCATTTGTTAAATACAACTTTTTTCCCCCTTTAAATAAAATCCATTTCTTCAGCATGCTGCTGATCTACTATTTAAGGAAAAAAAGATGGCTTCTGGTATGTAGGGGCCTGTTGTTCTGATTATTTTCTACTGTCTTTTGGGGTAGCATTGAAAAAAGCATTTTTGTGTAGAAGGGGTTCCTTACTCAACTGCATGAAAAAAAATATTTAAGAATGTTCAGCCTTTGTGTCTTAACAACTTCACATCTACAGCCCAGTCTTAGTTCTCAGCAGTGTTGAAAAGTTTGGATGTGTAATAGAGACTTTTTAGTTGTTTCTTTGACTGTCGTATCAAACTGCAAATACAACTTCATAACATTAATTCAAATTAAACAGTGGGACAGAACTACATTTCATCTTAGAGTAGACACAAGCTTCTTGAAGTTCCTCATAGAGCTTTTAAAAGCTCTGCTATCAACAAAAGACTGTACCTGCTCAATAAGGTGATGCTTATGGCTGGGAGGGAAGTTTAATATGGTGGCACTTTAGTATACCTAAAAGACAACGATATAGAGCAAGAACTTAATCTGAACTGAGGACTCTCTGTTGCAGAATACGGTTAGACCTGAACATAGATCAACAGCTAAATGCACCACTAAAACTCTGATTCCTGACAAAGCTGAAGCTCCTCAATCTGAGAAGGCATTTTCACTGCAGGAGATAGTGTTATCATTCTTGAAGTTCTATGTAGCACAAGAATCATCACCACACCTTTAAAACACACTGTGACACGTTTCATGGTATTCTATCAGTACACGTCCTGGCAAGAATTGCAATGGTGGGGTCTGCACACCCCAGCAACACCTAAGTGCCATCTTAGAAGAAAATGAAATACATAATTCAACAATAAGGTACCATTTTTCATTACATATCAAAGAACTTGTAAAGGCAATGTGAAAGTAGAAAAAGTATACTAGCTGTTCCACTGATATATGTCTTTTCTCAGTTAAAGACCTCAGCAGTGGTATTTCTCTTGCAAACTGAAGGTCATGCATTCCCATTTTGTTTTCACAAAGCAAGTGATATCTGGAATCTTTTTCCTACCTTAAGAAAAAACATAAAATTCTTTCCCTCAGAAAAACTATTTCCACATTTGCAAATTCAGTTATATTTGGCCTTTTTTCTCTGATAGGTCATCTAACTTTTCTGAAGAAGTCATAGTTGAAGTTCAAGTGCTCTTTTATGTCCATTTACCTGCCTGCTTTGGCCAGGCTGCTAGGCTTCACTGCAGAGAGTACATACGAATGTTTAAAAATAGTTCACCAGTCATTTTGCTGATTGCCTTGTGCTGTCTGATGCTGGTCCATGGAGCGTACCTTGAGAAACAGTGGTCTAGGCTTAATATTTGTCACAGAGCAGCAGCGCTTCTCAATATCAGGGTAACGATTTTTCAGACAAAAAGCAAATGTTTCTGGCTACAGGTCAGTCCTGGATTTATAAATGACAAGGCTGAGGGTTAATGAGGGATTTGTTCTGGGGTTTACAACACGAGGCTAATAAATACATTGGCAGTAGTTCAGGAATATGTAAAGTAACACATTATCACAGACTGAAGATCTGTTTAGAATTTTGCTTTTCTCAACTGCCTCATTTGTAGCATTTTAAGCAGCCATTGCCCACATAAGTGTGCTAAACAACATTTACCAAATTTTGCTTGTTTACTGGTTGGTAGTGAATAGTCTCATCATGTAAATGAAATTCTATTTGTCTGGGATTTCTCCTGCATGTTTAATCTTCAAAGTAAATCTTGAGCTTGCGTCCGCTCGCTAAAAATGAACATAATGATAATTTACCAAGTTATTCTTTAAGTTAGCTGCTGCTTCCTGAGTGCCATTGGATATTGCAAGTCCCATGTATATAAAACCATCTTAAAAAGCAGACTTTTGAAAGTATTAACCAAATTATTGAGATTAATATCTTAGCAAGGTTTAAAAAATTGCTGGCTTGTTATGGGTGGAAGTGAAACTTTCAAAATCACTGAAGTGACTGACAGCTTGCAGTATACTTTAGTGGATTCAGCACTCACAGCCTGCATCTAACCTAGTGAACCTGGAAGCACTGGCTCTGGGCATAAGCACAGGTTTATCAATCTGTGGGGGTTTATCAAGCCCTCTTGGGGCTGTATCCCAATCTAATGTCAGATTGATTGTACCTGAGGTACAAGCATCTTTTTCCTTACCCAATTCTCAGCTGGGGGTTTTCTGTGGCAAATCCAGATGTAGAAGCTGGATGGAGGCACTGCCGTTACACAGTGAGTGCAACAAAGTGATCTTGATACAGGCAAAGTGGTAAAATTTGGTTCCCCAAAGAGTTCTGAAATAATTTGAAAGAGCTGGCCTCAAATGTTTCAATCATCTTAGTAAAAGGTATGTAGTTTTATAAATCACATAAGCAATTTAGAAAAATGGTGCAGCAAGGACACACAGAATTAGAAGATATGTAAATTGAAGTAAAATAATAAAGGAATTTGAACAGGATAGAAGCCATTGTGCTTATGAGAAAGAATCATCAGTGAGTGTTTTGCTTAGGAACAGATTATCGTGTTTTGTGCATTTTATTTCCCTCTGGAATTGATGCTATCAACAATTTTTTGAGACAAACTGTTTGAATGGACTAATAATGCAATTCTCTGGCCATTCCTATTTCCCTTCGCAGCAAAATCAATCATTCCATAAATTTCATCAGGTGAAAAAATGGGTCAATGGCTCTGATACATTGAACACAGAGCAGACTATTAGCAGTTGTACCAGATGGTTCTTGCATATGCAAATATTTATTCAAAGCTTGGAGGACTTTGGAGGTAGACATAAATTAAGGCTGAGAGATGAAGGTGCCAAAAATGGCTGGCCAAATGGCTTTAGTGAGTAGACTATGAATTCTCATCTGTTCTCCATCAGATTACAAAGCAGAAGGAAAATCACTGATTTTTGTTCTGTAGTGAGAATAAGTGCTGAAGATTGAAAAACTCCTGTGTAAAAGACACACCTCAGAGTTGCTCAGGAAGCCATAGGTGTCAAGGTTTTAGGTTTCCTCAATTCAAAAATTTAGAATTTTATAAACAAAATTACTGTAAAATTTAATATAAAAATATAAATTGAAGCATATTCAGATCTTCTACATTTTGCTTTAGGGAAAGTCACTTCCAGAAGAAAAGTTTCCTGCAATTTTTTCAGCCACTTATGAGTGGCCTGAGTGGATTCATGATCCTTTGGATCAACGAAACTGTGGAGCATCCTGGGCTTTTTCAACCGCAAGTAATATGAATATTTTCTCCCTTTAAAAGTATCACTGATGTTAGATGTGTAAAGTGAATAGTAATTAAACAATTTCAGCTTGCTTTTCACTCTTTATTAGCAAGTAGGAATATTTGAAATTGCTGCAACTTTCCCTGTATGTTGTCCCAAATTCTTAAAAAGTCAATCTAAGCTGCAGCTCTTTGTTTGATTTTCATAAGATTGCGTAACGTAGGGAGAATTTTTTTGTGATAGCAAGTAGAAAATGAATTGACTGATGCACTTTATTGTAACTAGTAGAGTAACTTTTTTAACATAAAAAATCTGCATCCCTTGTCTGTGCAACTACATGCTTTATTTGAAATCTTAAAACAGGTAGGCTTCAATTTCTTTATATGTATTTATATATTTCTGCATTTAACAGTGTCCAACCCTTGCTACTCAAATAAATTGGGTACAATATTTTCAAATTTTATGAGAAGAAAGCCCTGAAACTGCTCAGATATTTGTGGAAAAAACAATCTTTCAGATTCTGTAAGCAATGTCAGTAATGCAATTCAACCTCATATGCTACAATCTCTGGTTTTATGAAAACTGGACACAATTGTCACTTTCACCAAAGAAGTTAAAAAATCAGCTGGGTACATTTTTCTTGCAAGAAATCTCAGTGTGTATTGGGATATATAAAACTAGAGAAAAAAATTATGCAATCAATCTTTATGACTTAATTTGGCCAGTGGGTCCTCATTGGTGCTTCTTTAAACCACAACAGTAAGAGAAGGAAAGGAGCATTTAGGCCAGCTAACCCCAGCTCTCTATGAAAGTCAGACCGAAAACACTTTTTTCCCTGTCCTGTTCACTGCAGTTTTAAACGGAGAAAACCAAGAGAGCTTTTAACAGCTCTACTGACAGATTACTGCGGAGATGTGCAGAGATCACTGAGGGAAAGACTTCCCAGATATTATGTCTAAATTTTCCCTTTCATAAGCAAATCTTTTAATTTTAATTCACATTATTATTTTCAAAGCTAAATATTATAAGATGCCTTCCCATGTTGTTTAGCTGCATCTAACAATTTTCAATTTTTCTTCGCAAGATTAATTGTTGTACAATGAATAGAAAACCTCTACTGTATAATTTTTTCTTATCATGAGTAATTTCTATAACTATTCCAAAACTATTCACTAAAAGACTCTTATACCTATGAAAATAAATTCATTACCATGTGACAGCTCACAAAAGCACAAAACACAATTGTCACCTGCCATGAGCAGATTCACTTTTCTGAAGTCTTGCCCAAAATTCACCACAGTTAGTGTTGATTTTGATGGAGCCTTAGATTTCAAGATATTTTTAAAAAATTTATTTTCAGGTTCAAAAATGAGGGGCTAAAAGTAACAAAAATATAATTTAATCACAGGTAATGACTGGGATCGGGGCTTAATGGTTGTTTCATCATCATTCGATAAAGAAAGTAGGTTAGTTTCAACCATAACTTAGTTAACCTAGGCTGCCTTTAAATCAGTGCATAAATATATAAGTACTAAGAATTATGACTATCTGATTGAATTCAGACATCTAAGATGTCCTAAGATGTCTATCTCAGAAGAAGAATTTTGTGTGATAAGGGAAGTACAAAGAATACTACATTTACACTTTAATATGAACATGTCCAAATATTCTTTCTAATGAAACCAATAGATATCTCCAGTCTTGAATTTTCTTCTTCAAAGGACTGTTCATTTTTACTTTTTTTTTCTCTCCCTCAAATAAAGAAAAGAAAGGTGGAAAAGAAAGTGAAGAGATTTGGAGACTCAGCTGCAGAGAGGTGGAGAAGTATTTGCATCTTCTGCTGAAGAAAACTGGATATGACTGTGCATTTACAAACATCATAGAGACTATCAGACTAAATTATGTAAATATCTCGTCTGATTTTAGATATGTGGGACTTTACAATAACCAGTAAATCTAGAGATTTGTAATATTACAGCAAAGTTGCTCATGATGCTTTGCAGTTTCACAATCCTCTCTCTTGAAAGTCTATACAGACTATATTGTTGTTGTTTAGTGAAGGTATCTGCACAGGTAGAAAATATTGGGATTTTATTTCAGTCCTTTTCCACATTGACAAATGTGAAGTTGTTAGTAATTATTTGTTTTTTATAAAAGAATATTTATTTCAAAACAGGTGTTGCGGCAGATAGAATAGCAATTCATTCCAAGGGTCAGATCACAGACAACCTGTCTGCTCAGAATTTGATCTCTTGTGATACCAGGAATCAACATGGATGTAATGGTGGAAGTATTGATGGTGCTTGGAGATATCTGAAAACACACGGGTAAATATTTTATCTAGCTGTTTGGATTATTTTAACTTGAAACAATTGCTTAAGTTACAATAAGACAATACTGTAAGTGGACTCAAAATTCTGTGGTTCTTGGGATACAGGATCCTCATGTTAAACAACCTTGAGTAAGCCACCTGCATGAGACCACATTGTGAGTATTCAAAAGAATCAAATATTTTTTCTCTATGAAGCAAATTGTAATCATCTCATCCCAAGGTTTATTCCAGAATGCAACACTCTATCAAGGACTATACCTAGATCCTTCTTCCTTCAGGTCAGACTAAGCAAAGTTAACAGCTGTCAAATGCCACACGGAGAACTAGAGACTTTTTAAAATGGCATAAAATCATTTATAGACTCACAGAATGATTTAGGTTGGAACTTTTGAAGGTCACCTGGTCCAATGTTCTGCTCAAAGCATGACTATGAAATTAGAACAGACTGTTCAGGTCATGTCCCTGAACACATTTTGAGTATCTTCAAGGGTGGAGTATCTATAGCCTTTTCTGCAGCAGGTCACTCTGTTTGACCACTCGTGGTCAAATACTTTTTTCTTATATTAGCATTTTCTTTGGTACAACTTGTGACTGGTACCTTTCTGCTTTTCACCGTGCATCTCCAAGAGTTTTGCTCTGTCTCATCAATAGCTCTCTTTATGTAGTTGAAGACAGGAATTAGGTCCTCTTTTAGCTTTCTCTTCTCTGGACTGAACAAGTCCAACTGTCTCAGCTGTCTCAGTTCCAGTCCCCTAAGTGCCTTCCACTGGACTTGCTCCATTTATCAGTGTCTTTCCTGGGGATTACAGAAGTGAACATATTACTTTATCTGTGGAGTAGTAATTTGAGGGGAATAATAATTTTTCACAATGCCTTGGCTATGTTCTTGATAATACAGCCCAATATTGGTCGTCCATGTTTGTGAGAGGGCTCACTGCTGAGCTACATTCAACTTTCTGTTTCTCAGTATCTCGTGTCCTCTGTAAAACAGCTTTCTACACAGGCAGTACCCTGCCAGTACCTGGGCAGTTCTGGCTCAGAGGCAGGATTTGCCATCTGTTTTGTTGAACTTTTTGATATTTCCATCAGCTCATTTCTTCAGCCTATTAACACAGCTATGAATGGCAGTTGTGCATACTAATCACTCACCGCCAGTTTTGCATTCTCCACAAACTTGCTAAGGGTGCCTTACATCCCACTATCTAGATTGTTAATAGAGATGCAAAACTGTTGCTTTTGTGTTAACTCCTAAGGAATGCCACTAGGAAACAGACACCGGTCATTTTGATCTGTCGACCTTTCAGCATGCCAGTCCACAACTGTCCTTGTAAGCAACTTATCTAATCCAATAAACTAGAGGTACACCACAGGAAACCATGCTGAAAATGTTGCTAAAGGCAAGGTAAATGATAGCTACTGCTTTTCTTATTCTCCGCGGGACCAGTCATTTCATCATTGTCAGATCATCTCACCACTGCCTGTCATGGTAAATCTGCATTGTCTTTTCTCATTCAACTCCTTAAAATTTGTATGCCTGGAAATGGCTTCCAGGAGAATTTCAAGAACCACATTTTATATACCATATAATTAAATCCTGCTGGTTTTCACATTAACAGAATTTTTTTGTCCTTTCTGTTCTATACCAAAATCAATTTCCTCTCTCATTTTCATGCAATCTCATCCTTTATGCTGTCTTTAATATATCTGAAACTGGCAGACAGAGAGATCTCAGGTGTGCTCTCTGTCGACTTTTAATTTAAGTAAAAAACAAACAAACAAATCAACCATAGCAAGAGCAAAAGAATGTCAGATGCATCTTACTTGACAAGGTGGCCTAGGGATCCAGATGAAGACCTGTCATTCACATAGACACAGTATACAAGCAATCATTCTGCTTTCTGCAAGTGTAGCAAACTATTTCTGATCTGACAAAGATTTCATATTGATATGGGGAGAGTTTATATCAAGCACTGCTTGATCTTTCTCTCTCAGAGTTTAAACCCTAAAGTAGTTTTGATCTAGGGTTTGAGCGGGAGACCCTTTAGGTGAGCAATTCTATCCAGCACCTCATGGGGGTAAAGGCAAAGGCTTCATTTACGAGAAATGAAAGTTCTAACTTGACATTTTAACTGTAAACACTTTTTAACTGCAATAATCTTCTGTAACTAGAAGAACAGTCTCCTTTTAATCAGTAGCTCATGCTCTTAGGAGAGTAATTACAACTCTCTCTCACTGGACTGTTTGCTTACCTGTTAAGGGCAGGAGCTCAAGAATTGCTGGTGTAGATAAAAGAAGAGGTGAAGTTAGAGCAAGTTATTTTTAGAGGAAAAGCTGTAAAGAATACAGCAATAGGATAATCTCCTAGTCTTCTATTCCCTCTGACTGTTATCCCTCTATGGACATAACCACCATGAGGCCATAATAATAAGATTCTTCCTATATCAGCAAGTAATACGTCCTGAGGACCTCACTGCCATTGTCCAAGCTTGCTTGGCCCCGGCAGATGAACCTTAGGATTAAAGGGTGGGCTCAGTTCAGCGCAGGCTGTGTCTCACCTAAAAAATCCATTGCGCAGGCTGGAAAGGTAAAAGACCTTTCCCCAAATCTTCGTTCGCGAAGATGGGCCATTATTATTATTATTATTATTATTTTTACCTTAAGCACTGTAGTTAATGACACAGCCTGTTCTGCAGAGGCAGTTGAAGTATGAAAGAGTTAGCTTATTTTTATATGGAAAGCAAGGCAGGCTGCGGCTAAATGAGCCACTTCATTATCCACCTAGCTGTACCAGTGCAGGAGCTTGTCCTGGTGTAAATGCAGTAGTAAGAAGATTGACCTGACTGAGCAGCAGTGTAACATTGATGTGAGGAATAGGCTTTGTGATTGATATAAGCCTGGAATCACACAGCCACAGCACCTCAGCTCACCATAGCACACCTGTGAACTGCCTTTTCACCTCCACAGTCCCAAGGACTTGCTTGTGGCTCAGCCTTATGGTATTCACCAGCCTCTTTGCAGGTGACTGTCTGAGTAAAGAATCTGAAGGGGAGTTTTGAGACCCATTATGAACTTTTCTGGAAACTATCTAGATCTCCAATAAATCTCAACAATACAAGATTATTTTCTTAGTAATTTATTAAGCTTTTTTTTTTTTCCCATGGAGCTAGCTCTAACGTGTACATCACTGTGCTATGACAGACCTTTGCCTGCTACCCATTCTTATCCCCAATCATTGATTTGCCATCAAAATGCCACATGAGAAAGTATTTCTACTTATGTATTTTTATAAACATTTCTATATCCTGATTTTCTTTCCTCAAGTTCAAATGATATTTCAGATTCTGTTCCAACAGTTCCAGACACAAATGAACATCTTAAGTGAAACATGCAAATATCTTTGAGAACAGATACTGAAAGAACACAAGAACAGCTATGTTGGATCTGAGCAAGGGTCCATCTAGCCCGATATTTTGTCTCTGACAATGTAGAAGAGAAAGTAATATCAACAACAACAACAAAACTTTTTGACTCACTGGACTGATAATTGAATAATTTTTGTAGCTAAACTCCCCAATGCATAAGTCTTTACCTCTGACAATGAAAAAAATGGAAATTTATGGCATGAAGTGTCTTTTGAATGAGCCCTGTTAAATAGTGCTTACTTCCTCACACTTTCAGGTAACTTTTATTTTTATGAACCATTATATTGCAATCATCTTTTTGTTATCTCCATACCCTGCAATAGGGAGAAAACCCATTGATTTTCTGTGGGGGCTTGTAAATTTCCACAGCAGGCTTTCAATGCTGTTTTAAAGTTTCTAGTGTTCTGATTTCTGGAGTGTGATTGTCTCAGGTTTTTGACAGACGTTCAGAAAAATTGAGTGCTGGCCTAAACTATCCCTAGTGAAATGAGCAGAAGACTTCCATAAAGCTCAATGTGCTTAAGCTAGTGCTGAAACCTGACTTTTCAGAATCACTGAGTACTCGATTAACAGTGAAATCTGCTATAAGTGGAACTGAAACACTGTTTAACTCTCACTCTTTCTCTCTGTTGTCCTTCATAAAAAAATAAATATGTATTCTATTTCTAATTATTATTAATTTTACATATTTTAGTTACAAACCATAATTTTGGAGAAATCAATGTTCTTTGAAAGCATCTATTTTAACTACTAAGGGAAACTAAAAGGTTATATTTTTCAAGAATGAGAAAGAAATATTTCATTTTCAGGTGGTAGAGAGGTTATACACTTGGATGCAAACACTGCTTCTAATCAGACTTTAGTCTGATTTATACCTTGTGCTTTTAGCAGCTGCAGGGTATGAGAAAGATATTACTGTTATTTTTTTTGGCCAACTTGCTAATAACATAGTCTTGTGTTTTGGATTATTTTTTGTCTCACATTTCAAATATAAAAATGCAATAAAAACACAAAACCTTTCATGAGATTGAACACATAAACATGACTTCAGGTGAATTCTGCTAAGAATGTATGAATGTAACACAGAATTTTCCTACTTCTCCTTGGATCCTGGTTGTTCCTAATATTATTTTTGTATATGTGTATCTATATTTGTGCACATAAATGTATTTACATCTATTTCTGTTTTGATTCTATGAGTCTTCCAGCAAGGTCTTCTCTTTGAAGTATTTTTAATGTTTACTGTTGTGCTGGTGCTTCAGCACGTACAAACTCATGTTTCATCAAAAAGCTGTTAAATTATGTTACTCACAACTGCAGAATTTATGGTTGGTGCAAAGGTGACTATTAGTTCAGAATGAGTAATCATGTCTGGATTTCCACACAGCTCCAGTGTGCTACTGTATTTTTTGGTGCTTCACTTCTGTTGACATAGAAATAAGACTCATCCATGCAGAACCTGTGAAAAGTCCATTGGGACAATCCAACTGAAAGAAGGGGGTAAAAAATCCCTACCCCAGGAATTAATTTCCCCTCTGTTGTCTCCCTTTGAGGTGTCTCTAAGTACACCTGAGTAATAGGTGTCATACCTTTCTTTTTACTGGACTGCCATCACCTACTCCTGCCCTATCTATGCTAGATTGTGCTCTGAGGACTGTATTTGCTCGTCTAACCTGCCTTACAGGCCTGATTGCACTTGGTAGCAATCCTGTATTTCTTTTGGAAATCTATCATCAGTGCTAAATAGAATAATTATGTATATAGAGATAGATACATTTTATAAATATTTATAGATGTGTACATATATAAACCAAAGATTTACTTCTACTCGGCAGTAGAAACACAACATAATAAAAGTTAAAACTGAGTAATAAAAACCTCTGTGTGTTTGGCCTAAATACTTCCCATTCTTCATTGAAAATCCATGAATCCAGAACACTTTCAGATATTCAGAAGGGATTAAAAGGGTTTGTCAGTGAGCAGATTGAAGACCTAAGCAATAACAGCCTAGTAACCTTACAACCATAGGTGTATAATCCATTTTCATCTAAGCTGAATTATTTTTGAAGCTTCCCGATGTATGTGATCTAGTTTGGACAGAAAGGATTTGGTGAGAAAAAGACATTTTCCTCAGGATCAGTTTTTCTACTGCCAAATGCTAATGGGAAAATGCTATGTCTTATTCAAAATAGCTGAAACACATATGGGCTTGTCTTGTAAAACTCCTGAGAACTAAGTATATGCAGGCAAACATAATTATACTCCATATTGTGTAGAAATAATTTTCTTTTCCTCAGATTCAGAAAGTTCAGTATAATTGATGAGATACTTAAATACATATGCTTCTTATAGGACTGCCTATTTTAAAATATTCTGCTTCATTGAACTATTTAATTTTACTCTTTAAAAAAAGCTTCTTATAAGCTTCCATGGCATTAACGCAGAAATGTGTACGTTGTTTTGGAAATACCTAGCCCATTGTTTTGGAAATACCTAGCCGAATTCCATGCCCATTTCACAAGCTATTTTTGCCAAATGAATCCCATTGACAACACTGGTAACTTCTTGGTCTTATTCCATATGAACTTTCATGCATCACTAATGAGACGAATGTACCAGGTGTCAAGTGCTAAGCCACTTTTTCTGCCCTATCTCTCTTTGAAGAAGGGTTGGGAGAGGACTACTCTAATTAAAACTTAATCATAAATATCATGTATATGAACTGAAGGAAATGCCAGCCAGTTGAAGATATGAGTCATTCACACTTTTGAAGAATATTACTTGAAATATGACAGTTGCAAAATAGTTAAAAGCTTGAAATAAAATGGCAAAAATGTTTAAGCAAGCTTCTTATCAACTTTTTTTTTTTGTTTTACTATCTGGACAGGGTTGTATCCTATGCTTGTTATCCATCATTTTGGAACAGTCACCTGGGGCCAACAGCTGAAAATCACTGTTATGTGTCAAGCGAATATGGAAAAAACTATACGAATGGGCCATGTCCCAACGCTTTAGAAAAATCCAATCGGTTATACCGGTGTGCCTCTCACTACAGGGTCTCCTCAAAAGTAAGTTCATGGCGTGGTGTTCACCTACTGTCTCACTTATTTTACTCCTTTGGGGATTCAATATTATCTAGCATATTAAAATATGTTCACTTTACTTCAAGACTAGAGCTGTGAATTTTCCTTGATGTTGTCTTTGTATTTTCATAAGAGTTTAAATTCTTTACAGTTTCTCACTTGTACATCATCTCTTTAAAGCTGACACTTTGTGGTCTTATAGAAATTAGAGACAGAAAAAAAAGTTTGCAGTCATCATGGTGCATTAGTGCTTCTTAAACATGTTTCTGAAGGTTTTGTTCATTTGGTAAACCAAATATTCTCTAGCAGAAATACAAGTAAAATGGTATATTTATACTCTATATAAGTACAAAGTGATAAATTAGTATGAGTTTTAATTTTATTTAATAAATGTATTATCTTCCCTTGCCCTTTCTTCTGCTACTCTCACCTCCTCTCAGGAAACTGATATAATGAAAGAAATCATGGACAAAGGACCAGTGCAAGGTATGGTAAGTTTGGAAGGTGATAATGTTATGGAAATAATTAGACCATGGAATGACCTTTTATCAAAATATTAGAAAATGCAAATTACATGCCACAGTGAAGAAACCAGTCGTATGCACTGTAGTTCATACAGGTACGTTTGGCGTGCAAGTAGTAGCCCTAAAGGCAGTACTACTGCATCAGAGTCTGTAAAGAGTGAAATGACCTTAAGCTGGATTTGTTAAAACTTTGTGCAAAATCTATGTGCAGGAAATGTGATTTTTTTCAATGACAGTCCTTCAGTCACCAGTGAAATAGCAATTTGTGGCTGTGCAGAAGGAATTAAATGTTAATCAAGCTCTGCTGTCTATGTCTGAGGCTGATTTCCCCACAAGCTAAGGCCAACCCACGAGGCCTGCTCTCCTCTGATAGTAATGTTGCAGGATATGGGCCCTCCAGCAAGTCATTCGGTACTGAAATACCCCCAGGATTTCCTATTTCAGAGCCTGAATGCTCTTGTTGATTGTAGAGGCTTATGAGTTTTGATTTTTTTTCTGCTGAACTCTGCAATGAAGATCCCTGATCTCTTAGAGGTCAGAAATAAAGAGACTTCAGCAGTGAGTGAGGAGCTGCAAAAAAGCTGTTTACCCTGGATACTGTCCATTTGTGGCAGTGGATGGTGCTGACAGCAGGTGAAAATGCAGGTTCCTGCTCACACCTCAGGCCAGCGTAACTAGAGAGATTGAGGGATGTGGGGCTTGGGGTGATGGAGAAAGGTCATAGTGCAGGATGTCCGCCTACATTGGATGGACCAAAGCATTTTATTCAGGGGACTTCTGCATATCATCTACTGCCTTTAATTATAAAAGGATTTATCATAATTTCCAATTTATAATTCAAATGGTTTTGATTATTAGATTGAATTCATTTTGGTGCATGGAATGGAAATGGCTTCTTTAAGTTCTTTATGTGTGCAGCTGCAATTAATCTGAAGCTCAGACTTACCAAGATCAACATCATCAGCCGTTTTTTTGTTCTGTCCAAGTTTGTTTGCTGAAGGAATATATTCTTTCCCACACTGCATTTGATCTAGATGCAAGGACAGTAATTTCTGCTATTTTTAAGAAAATGAAAAAATTAAGATTCTCAAGATAGAATTTCAGACAGCTCTTGAATATCGCATTCATAATCTGTGTATACACAGTTTGCTGGATTAATCTCTTAGTACTAAGTCTTCTACATAAAATAATCGATATTCAGCCATTTGTTAGGATTTACCACTCAACAATTCATATAATTTTTGAAATGTCAATGCTTTTCATGTATTGGGTTAAGGTAATGCTGTAGGTGGAAAAATCAAGATCTAAATAAAAGCATATAACTCAGAGTATGCATCACTGAGTCAAATCACTTTCCTTTTTTTTTTTTTTTTTGGCTATAATGTGATTTTTAAATGAGTCACGGTTGCTACCCAATAGTTTGTCACTGAATTCTCTCTTCTATCATCCCATATTACAAATGCTACCAGGGCATAAATCTAATTGTAAAACCATATCATACTTTTTTTTCCAAAACATTCTGCAAATGATCTTCAAATACTGAAGGAGATTTTCCATTATTCATTCACTTGTCATTCTTCAAGAACTTACAAATTGCTTAGGGCCAATCTTACCTAATGTACTAGGTAATGTTTAATAGCTGGAAAACATTCAAAACCCTTTAAAGATCATGATGTCAGTCACACTGTTTAATGATTAATGGACTTTGATTTTTGGGTATATTCAAAGTTAAGAAAAAATATTTTTTAATAATTTTGAAGCAGGAGGTGTAGAAATGTAATTGAAAATTTTATATTATACAGCTTTCAAGTCAGAATGACAATTTCTCTCTGACATATGTTATTGTCTTATATGGCACAGGAACTGCAATTAGCATTTTCAGATGCAAATGATGAAATGCTAGTTATTTTAAGAAATCCATTTTCCAATGAAGTGAAATTTTATCAATACTTTGAAAACATTCAAATCTAATATTGTCCATTCATCTTTTTTTTTAATGGACTTCAGGAAATATTTTAATAGTTATAGTGCAGATGTAGGAAAATTATCCTCTCTGACACAGTAGTCAGTCTCAATCAAAAGAAAAGCTTAGTACTTGCACATTGTTGCAATACATCAATGTTTTGACCCCACACAACTTATTATTTCAGCTATCATGATCTTGGGAAAAAAAGAGGAGTGTTTAATTTGCTGACATAGAAAATGATCTGGAGAAAGCACTCAGCTACATTAATGTATAGTGCTAAACTTTGTTTCCTTTTGTAGCGACCAGTTTTAGTATCTTGTATCTTTGCATGTCTAAGAGATAAATCCTTACTGAAGAATTTTATGCTGTATCTATATGCATAGATCTGACAAGCTCAGCATGACTGAGGTAGGTCATGCATGAACTACAGTCGACCTTATAAAAATTGCTACCTTTTCCGATTCATTAATAACCAATCCATTCATTTTAGAAAATGTAAAATCTCTTCTGTATGAGAGGAAAAAAGTTAGCTGGTGGACTGTGATCATCTCATCCTGTCCAAATCACAGTCTGTATCAGGACAAAGTCACTGAATAAATAAAAAATATCTCAGTACTAGATCTAGACTTGTCACCTGTCTGTCCACCCTATGCTTCAGGCACTTAGACCACTCTAACTCCAGAAACTGTACCATTATTTAGTTCCTTACTACAAGGTATATAGATATACATATACATGAGTATATACATTCACAGATTAACAAATGACTGTATACATACACATGCAATGTATATGTAAACATGGATAAAATTTTCTCACATAGGCTACTTATTGTGGAAACAGGCTTCAACATTTTCTACTTCACTTCAATGGAAATAATTTATGCATGATATTTCTTCATAGACAAGAACATGTCTTTTGATTTGGGGCACAGGTTACATTCTCCCCTACACTTCCAGTTGAAGGCAGCAACATAGGAAAAATCAGATGGGCTGAGTCTGTTAATATAGGGCTACATGACTGGTGTCACTGCCAAATTGTTGGCTTTTTTTGACAATGGAATGGGCCTAAGCACTAGGCATGCTGGTAATCAGACAGGACTCATCTTTCCCAGAGAGAGAGGAGAGTTTTTGCTTGGGAACTAGCAGGGCTCATTGGCAAAGCCTCAAGCTAGATGTGACTGAGGAGGAGAGACAGTATCAGGCTTGTCCCTGGCAAGGTATGGGGTGAGATACAAAGGTTAGAGGGACAGGATACTAGTGAGGGTCCTCTGCTGGTGACTCTGAAATGTGCTGACTACACTGGAGCACATTTGCAGTCACATAGAGATGAGCCAGTGACTCCTGAGGGAACAGAAGCCATCAGGGAAACACCATCCCATTCCTGGAAGTGTTCAAAGCCAGATTGGATGGGACTCTGAACAACCAGGTCTAATGGGAGGAGATGTCCCTGCTCATGGCAGGAGGTTGGAACTGGGTGATCTTTAAGGTCCCTTTCAATACAAGCCATTCTATGATTATATGATTTAGAGTTGCTAATACAGAATAGATTGTTTTCTGAAACTGAACATATGGACGTTGATTTCAAGAACAATGTGATTTAGAAATGAAACATCTTCTCCTGTCTCATCCTGATGGAAGAAGAGATCTTCGAACCTCAGTCCTTCCATGGGAGAAGTGAATTCCGTAGTGTTTGCTTTCAACCCCTCCCTTTGACCAGGGTATAAAAACAAGATCCAGGGGTGCCTCTACAGTAATTTTTTGAATGACATTTCCTTCACTGCCCCTGGATACTCTCACCCGGACTAAGGCCAGCAGGAGACTTCACCCTTTCTGTTCCTTTGTATCACTTTCAAGATCTCCTTCTACAAGCTCCTCTGCAGCTCAGAAACCTGTACAGGTGGCATCATACACAGTGGGACAGGGATATCCACAGGAATTAAACTTCTAGCTCTGTACATCGGTGAGCCCAGGGACAGAGGAAGGAGACCTTTGCAGAGAGCTCTAATGGAGTCCTGAGTTTGCATCTAGAAATGAAGAATAAAGTTTGTGCTATTTTTCAGTTGGTCTGTGACTGTCAGAGAGTGAGCTCTGGTTTGGCAGGCAGCTCAGCAGAAGCTGTAACATTACTAATTTGAAATATTTAACTTTTTTTCTGATTTAACCAATTTTTCTGATTTAACTGTCCCTCTAACTTGCCACCTAGGTAGCATCATGGCTGTTTATTCCCTGTGTCTTGTTATCAGGGTACAGTTTTTTATGTGAATGACCTCATTAGCAAGGTACATTTTTATCTAGGCAAATGGCATCATTTCACCATGTTTTGAGAAGTTCTCTTTCATCCCCTAAAATTTGAGACTGTTTTCTATTTTAAGCCAAGTATGATAGAGGCCAAGATATTGCAAAGATGCTTAATTTCCTTCAAGTTTATGAAAATATTCACGTAGGAAAAAGAAATTTGAAAGTGGACCGGAAAGAAAAAACTGTGGCATGAGCTCACCTTACTGGATACTGCAGATCTATACCAGACACACATGTTATAAATGCTCCAACTGCATAAAAAATGGTCAGTGAAACTTCTGCTTTATGGCACTCCCAAGGTGCAAGATTTTAGGAAATGGGATTTCACTATTTCTCATGTTCCAAGCTGTGTGGCAGTTAAAGTCATAAGCTAAAAATAAGTTAAGTTCATATTTAATGCTTCTGATTCACTGGAATCTAAAGGTAATGTAGACGTGAAAAAATATTTTCATTTCTCTGGATCTAGCAGCCCACCATAAAGCAAATGGTACTAAAGTGGCAGAACAAATGTGGAAAAGAAACCCAGAACTATTTTTTTTATAAGAAATTGAATGATACTCCTATGAAATAATGAATAGACATGAAATGAGAGTTGTAATCTTCATTCATTTGCACAAAATTTCCAGTTCATCAGCTCTTTCACCTTATATTTTTATGGACAAAAAGTGGTGTTTTTTCCATACTTTAAGTAGAACATTAGGATACAGATAATCTAGTTTTCTTTAAGGAGATTGCTGTGTACTTAATGAACTCTGAGTTTCAGAGTCTGTTAGACACTCTTCTTGAATATGCAGATGCTGGTCAGAACCGAGTAGTTTATACATGAACTTTAAAGAGATTCATTTTATTGAATTGAATTACAAAATTTATGTAAGCCTCAAGAAGCAATGTTTCTTCTTACTGCATCGGAAGAAGCCCGTGATAAGGGGCTTCCATGACAAAGAAAGCCAACCAACTTGATAAAAGACCTTCGAGAAAGCTCTGTTCAAGTATTTCTGTTGGCTCACTCACAGCAGGGGAATTCTGAGAAATTAATGGTTTTAATAATTATAAACACACAATGCAGCCCAACACAGAACAAAAATTTCACTGGTAAAATCAAGGAGTGAATAAGAATAGGAGTAATATTTACTGACTGTGCTGATTTTTCCCATTGTTTTTCAGCTATAATGAGAGTGTATGAAGATTTTTTCCTTTACAAAGAGGGAATATATCGACACACCCAGAAAGCAGAATCCAAATGGAAAACTCATTCAGTCAAACTCCTTGGGTGAGTAAAGCACATGCTCTTACCCTTTTTCTCTGCCAGTCGTTAATGTAGTAAAATGTCAATGATCAGTTCAGAACACAAAGATTTTACTTTCACTCAAAGAATTCAAAGTTGGGACACTACTAGCTCCCAGCATAAGATTGTTGTTGTTTCACTTTTGCCTTGTCTGAGAATTTTAGAGAGTATTGGAAAGATGTGTAGACCCATTCTCTTTTAATCTACTCTAACATTTGCTCTAAAATTTCAAGTATAGTGGTTTACAGAATAAGATAGTTTGCTGAGTATTCGCAAATATTCCAAGTACACATCAAGTTGTGAACAAAGCTGATACCATCTTCTACAAACATGCCACCAAGCAGAATGGAAATAAAAACATGAAAATTGACAGTGGCCTCACAATTAACCAACATAGCTTACTCGCACAGCAATCTGGGTTCTCTATGCCCTGAACAGAATCAGCAGCTGCTAGGATGCTGCTGATTTTATTTGGGAAACTGCTGCAGAAACATGTGCATAGTACCCTAGTGGATTTCCCCTCAAATGTCAACCAGTGCCACTTTATCAAGAAGACAAGCATGTAATAATGCATACACTTGAATTACAGAACACGCTATGGGGCTTTATTCTTTGACATGGAGGGAATATGCAAGGATGAATTTATTAAGTCACCAAGTGATTACACAGAAAAAGGACTGTAGAATCTCAAACAAATATTTTAGTGGTGGTCTAGAATATGAAATAAATAATGATTCAGGCCTGTGCTAGGAAGATTACTAAGAGTATCTTCAACATGTAGTTCAAGCAAATAAAGTCACAAAATAAGGTGCATTTTGCGCTTGTGATCTTGGTGAAGATATCTTTGTGAAGGACATGGAAAAGCCTATGATTGTGGAAACTGCTGGTTATGAATTACAAGAGCATGTCTCGTAGTGGCAGAGCAGCAGAGAGAAGCAGCAGGCTTATGAAGATCATCTGTGATTCTTTACTGCTGCAAAAGGTATTGACTCACACGAGTAGAGGAAAAACTCCTGAATTATGATTAAAGAGAAAGTTGTGAAGCAATGAAAAAGAGAAACTGGAATTTCTCACAGAAAAATGGAGGACTGAATTACGAAAATATGTTTAAGGAGGACAGTCAGTATGTACTGGTTTATGTGTGTGTATTTAAGGTATATTTGAACAGCCACAAGAAGCCAATAAAGTTGGAGAGTAAAGTTTGAGTGCAATTTGAATACTGCCGTTCAGAGATGAGCTGCTGTGAGGCTGTGGTTTTGGGTGTTGGGAGGGCTATGAAGCATGCTTGGTGCAAGCATAGGGTGATGACAGCTGTTTCCTAAGACATGCTGCCCCACAGATGTGCTAAATAACCTACTTGGGTGAGTGATTAACCAAGAAGGGCATGTGGGGACAAAGTGATGGCTGAGGAGGGAAAGAGGAGAAGATAACTAATGTGCTCAAGTGGATGCTGATTTAAATGGGAACTGATAGTCTCTGCAAAAAGGCAGCAGCCCTCGGGCAAGGAACCACTCATGAGCAAAATCTGAGCGCCTTGACTGAGACAGGCAGCTCCTTGCAAAGGATTGTATTGAGTGATCACTGCAAAACATGGAGTAAGAGAAAAACTGAGTGGTCTGATATACTTAAGAAGGACATGAAAAATGAAGGAAAAAGACAAAAACCGAAGGCAATGATATTTAGGAAACCTCAGACTGGTTCAAAGTTTAATATGTGGGGAATGCATTTACTTTCACTGAACATTGCTGAAGTATCCAATGGATCCAACAATATAAAGAAGTATCCATCCTTTCATTGTCTAATGCATAAATGCTCTCTCTTCCAAGATTATGCCATATAAAAATATTTGCAGAGATGTTTAGCTGTAAAACTTGAACTAGAGTTTGACAAGCTGGAGGCTGTTGGAACCAAAGGCTAGGTATTTCTAGCAATGATAAATCCAGTCATAAGATGTGGTTCTGCATCATGAAATCTAAACCACTCCTTTGCATAGATTTTAATGTTGTCAGGATTAAGCTATCACTTTTTCATATCATTCATTAGTTTCAATTCATTTGAATGTAAAATATGTGGCCTGGGTATAAGTTCTTTGTCACTCATATATAGTTTTGGTGATTTTTTCTTGAGCAAAGGATAATTCAGCCTCCTTGACCTAAATAACAAACTCATGGAAATCTCACAAATTTGTACTTCAAATAAAGATGCTGATGTTTATTTGCATTCTGCTTGGCTGAGATGGTTCCTGGAGAGAAAAGAAGCAGAGACATGCTGATACATAGGGTAAAAAATGCAGTTTTGTGTGTGTTGATGCTTATTGTAGTCTCATTTTTTATTTATACTATTTGTAATATTTCAGAAACATTTTCAAGAATGCCTTAAATTGCTCATGAATTGTACAACCTATAAGGTCATGGACTGATAAACTGCAAGTACATTTTAGTGAAGCTTGCAAGAGCTATTTGTACAAAACCAGAAATGCACATATAAACTGCCTAATTGACCTTTGGATCATACGGACTGTAAAGGTATTGATTGGCTTCCCTTGTTCTGCAACTTGAAATTGTTAGTTATTTTCTATCATTCAAAGGCTTATTTGTACAATCAGCTGCGACAGGACTGTAAGTCTGTCTCCACTGAGGTAATGTGTGACCTCAAGCTCAGGGAGAGAATGGGAAAAGACAGAATAGCATTGAAGGAAGAGAGGAAAATGTGGAACAGCCAGGCAGAGGGTGTTGCGGGTAGCAGACCATTTGGGTTTGATCACAGTCTCTGTGGACAGTGAAATGGGGCTTTCAGCAATCTGAAGGCAGGATAGACTGATCCCACTGACATTTAGAGAGAGCAGGATCTCTCAAACAGATTTTGTGTCAGTATTTCAGACACAGGGAGGTAAGCAGAAAAAGTGAGTAGTGGAGACTGGGATAAATAATGGCTATGTTTTGATGAAGAAAAGTTAAATTCTTATGCCTCTGTTAAGCAGACGTTTCTCTGTATCTTCCATGGCTATTCATCTCCATTGCTTAAGTATTTATCTTAAGGTGAGCTGAATTGCTTTGTTGGATGTGATTACACTTTGTGGACTATAAAAGAATCTGTGGGATAATATCAGACTTATATAGCTAAAATGAAAATGTCTAGATTAGGTTAGAGAAATCCTACATGTAATGGCATCCTAAAGTAGCTTAAAACCCAAATTACTGGTACATAGTATTCATAGGAGGACAGCATTTTTGGAATGTCTTGCATGTATGTTTGTATGTAGGTACATATATGCATTCATGGATCCATACGTATATACACATATAACTACAGCTCTTAATGACACCAGTATGAAAACAAGTTAAAGAGACACAATGAAACTTCCATATGACATATGAAACTGTCATCTTTATCTCAAGATCTCTTAATAAAACTAGACTAAAATCACATCAAAGATTAACTTGGTGGTAGGTTTCTGTCAGATTTGTACATTTAAGCTATAATATCTGAACAAACCTGTTGTATCTATTCAATAGCAGATAACGTCCATAAGAAAAGAAAACATGAGGCAGATTTGTTGATGGTGTAAAGGTGCCATCTTTAAAGGTGCCACTTCCTCTATTCAGTATAGATTACGAAGTACGTTGGATGAAGTGGCTGTGGTTCTAGTTAAAACAAATCTCTTTTTAAAGTTAGTGAAGTAAAGTATCCATCTTTAATGTTTGCAGCAGGCAAATCTTTTCTCAGTCTTTTTCCTCTGCATCGCTTCAGTACCAATGCCAAGCTACAATACATGATCCATACCTTCACTAAAAAACCGGATCTGCTGAACCCCTGACACTGAAAAGTCTAGGAAGGTCTCAAAAGCCCATGCCTTTGGCTACAATTAAATCTATGGACTGTCATCTTAAGGCTTGGAGGGAGCAAGAATAGTATTATTAAAAGCCTTTATACTCTTTCATGAACAAGATATGTTTTCAGATCCTTGGAAGGTGCTCAGAATGACAAAGGACTTCAATAAGAGGACACCGACGTACATTAACTGGGAACACATTTCCCCTCTATTTTAATCAATGATTCAATGGACGATTTAAATGCAATTGTGCAGCAAATTAAATGGCTTAGCCAACTACTAGTCTGAACCATCTATGCACTGAAAAAACATTGGTTGAATGTTTAACACAAAAAGCCATACTAATGGAGATAAAATTGATATGTGAGGCAAAAAAACTTGTGGTTTAGTGTTGAGAGGACAGAGCAACAGAATTCTAAGATTTAATACACAATTAAATGACTCTACTGTGCAAAGTCCAAAGTCTTGAAAAAGATACCAGTGTCTACTGTTAGTGACATCTGGTATTTTGCCTTCAAAGACAATCTTTTTCTCTACATTTTCCTTTCATTCTCTCTTAAACTTACACTCAGAATAGCAACAAACAAGTGACATCTTAAACCACCAAAAATTGTAACCCAAATTATTTTCTTCCTGAATAAAGAAACCTTGCCTTGAGGTCCCTTTTTCTTTCATGGGGAAAAAATAATCTACTTTATTATTGTCAGACAACCAACATCAAGTATTGTAGTTAAAACTTAAACAGCAACACTCAAACATATTTTACAGCAAAGAAAAATATGTTAGAAGATCATGGGAAAAAGATACACAGTATCTGATGATTCATGCAGTTAAATCCATGAGAGTGTCTTCCATATAATTCATTACAGTAGATCTGTAGGATCTGTTGGCTCACTGGTAATTTAACTCATCTCCCATTCTGAAAAGTCTAGGTAAAACTGAAGTTTCAAGTTCCAGCAACCATTTTCTAAGAAGCTTTTTCTTGTCGTAAACATTAGTCAGTGACCCTAACCTTCTTATTATTAATGAAAGATTAAGAACTAAACTTTTGTCTAATTAAGTAGATAAAATTCTTAGTTTTTGAAAGACACTAGGTTTTTGTGATATAGCACTAAGAATAGGACATTCTCTGCAATAGTTAGGCCTTTTTTCT